TCTGTTGCTACGCCATCTTCTCTAGCGCAATCAGGGTGACAGATAACAGGGCGGTGCAAAAGATGCGTGTGAAATGTCTACGTTTACTGATCATCCAGCAATATAATGAATGCGCATTTGGTTGATCATGATTGTGTTTTTTTCAAAGATGTACAGAGACAAATTTGGGTAATGATGAACATTTTATAGCATATAACAGTGCTAATGACGAAAACTGCTCAGAGAATGTCGCTCTTTTATTTCTTTAAAAAATACAAAAATATATAAAAATAATTATAATAATAAAACAATCAGCTATTTAAATCCCAGCACATGTACGCTGTACGATTACGAGTGGCATCAGCCAACCTGAATGAAAAGCACATTTTGCATAAGAAATACAAAACTTAATTTCTCTGGGCATATCGATTTAAGAGCGGCAGCAGAAGAATTGCAATTTACGAATTAAATGATGAATAGAAATGGCATTCGAGTTCCTAACCCTTAATAAATGATCAACATAGAGCCGTAAGTCATGTCAAATCTGGACATGTTTACGAGACTTGTGACGGCGTTTCTATTTGTCACTGCTCATCTCCAGAGCTAGTGAAATATAATTATATTTCACCTAGGTTTTTGACAAGGAAATTTGATTTTGTGTAATCAACAGAATTCATTCCATAATGGCGTATATTGTAAAAAGTAATAATGGGGTTAAATGAGTAGAATCAGATGAATAAAGTTAAAAAATAAATAAATATTAAGATAGTAAAATAAATAGTACAAGATAAAAGCCAGTCAAATCAGTTATAATTTTTATTTTGAAAATAAAAGTTTCTAATTCTTTCTTAAAATTGTCCTCGGACTGTATAGTTTTTAAGTCTGTAAATTGAGAATGAGTGATAAGGCCCATAAACGTGAAAAGGCTTGTTTTTAATTTGACATTACATGGCAACAGCAATAACTGGTCAAGTGGTCTAAAACTCCGTTTTGGAAAATAATGATGAACTAATTCTAGTACATGTAGGTAAGGGGGATATTATCGATAAAATAATTAAAATTTTGAATAAAATGCGTGCTCTAACAGGGAGTCAGTGCAATCGCTTTAAAAACGAGTTCCTTATGAGTGACCCTGGGTGTGAGGGTTAAAATCTGCGTTGAAATATTTCTGAATTTGCTTCAGTTTTTTATTCGTTCCTCGACACAGCCATAGAGTAAAGAGTTACTTTAGTGCTAACGAGAGGTTATCATCGCGTGTATGATTGTTGCTGCAGAGGATTGATCCAGGTATCTTTTCGTTCATTGAAAACCACAAAAGTGAATTCCCATCTATCTGTTGATTTAAAGATGTCGCAACAAAGGGATTTTAACAATGAGGTCAGTTATGAAAAGAAGAAATAATTTCTCTATCAGAAAAAGATCTACAAAGCACCAGAAGACACGTGAGCAGGTTCACAAGAATTGTGAAGCGGTTTCAGATATTTTTTAAGCTCCCAAGGCACCATAGACTTAGAACTGTTGTAGCAAACAAATTGAAAAATGATGAGTGAGTTCCACAAGAAAAAGAAACAGAAATTTCGTCAATACAAATAAAACAATATAGCACTGACGTTTCCGTGCATGTTTACGAGATTGTTAGGGCGTTTTTATTAATTTTTCTTAACTCCAGTGCAAGATGAATGAAATGTGTCACATAGATGTGCGCTTTTAATTTTTCCAACTTCATCGCCTACGGAGTAAGTAAGACGAGTGTCCGGTTAATGGAAGGATATTTTAAGCGATATCTGCTAAATTATAAAGCTATAAAGCTGTCGCGTACGCGGCTCCAAGCTGCTTTCTGTAATACGGCGGTTCAACGGTTACGCCTTTAAAACGTGTGAAATATATGTATTTACTTACCATTCAGCAATATGATGAATACGCATTTTTTTTCTTAAAGAATTGAGACACATTTTAGTAAGGGTAAACATTTTATTCGTATAGCAGTGGTGATGATTACTGCGCACAAAATGTTATTTCTTAAGTAAACAAAGCTTTCAGTAGGTTTGCTTTCAGCACACCTACGATTGAGTGGCATCACCCTTAACCTAAATAAAAAGTTCACGTTTTGCACAAGAAACATCTCAGAAGTCTTTGGGCATATAGATATACATGTATGAGTGGCGACAGATAAATTTCAAATGTACCACTTAAGTGATGAATGGAAATGACATTCAAGTCCCCCCCCGAAAAAAAAGAAAAAAAATCAACAGAGAACTAGATATCATGTCAAATCGTGGCAAGTTCACAAGACAAGTTAAGCCTTTCCTATTATATTTTTAAATCTCCATAGCTGCGGAAAATAATTCTGTTTCATTCAAGATTTGAAAAGGAAATTTGATGCTGTCAAATCAGCATTGCCTATTCTGTTAAAGCAGTCAGTTCATAAACTTCATTAAATACTGAAGCCAACACTACAGAGCGTGATGTTTTAAATCCCTCATTGTTTGCTAAAAGCCCGCAGGATTAAATCCCCAGGTGGGGTTTGTTGATTTAAAACTGTCGTAGCAGAGTTAATGCAAAAATATTTGCTCTAAAAAATATCAATATAGAATTTAGCCTATGAGCATGTTTGCGAGACCTGTTATGGCGTTTCTATTTTTCACTTCTTATCTCCAGAACTTTGAGATAGAATTGTGTCTTGTCTAGGGTTTTGAAAAGGAAATTTAATTTTGTCCAATCAACAGAATTAATTCCATGGTGGCGCATAGTGTAAAAAGTAATAATGGGGGTTAAAATTAACAGAATAAGAAGAATAAGGTCAATAAATTATAAATGGATAGAGAGTTAAAATATTGAGATAGAAAAATAAATGGTACAAGATAAAAGCTTTTTCGAAAACAAAATAATCTAATTTATTCTTAAAATTGTCCTCGGACTCTTTATTTAGTTTTTTAGGCTGTTGGGAGAATATTCCACTCATCAGGTCCATTAAATTTTCAGTCTGGTATAATGGCAACAGCAACAACCGTTTAAGTGACCTTAAAACGTTTTGGAGCATAATGATGAACTAATTCTAACAGTTAAAGGGTGCTTTTTGATAAAAATGGCATGCATAAAAATTAGGATTTTAAATAAAACGCTTGCTCTAACAGGGAGCCAGTGCAACTGGTGTAATATGAGTCTCCCTGGATGTGTGGGTTTAAAGCTGTGGAATATTCTGTATTCGCTGCCGTTTTTTTTTATAATTTTTTTTATCATGAAGTTAAGACTTGCATTAGTCATAACAAGAGGTAATCATCGCATGTATGATTGCTGCTGCAGATGATTGATCCAGGTAATTTTTTAATAACACAGGTCTTTCTAATGTTAAAATGCAGGATCGAATGATATTTGATATTTATATATGCATGGAGAGAGTGGAATCAAGGAAGACACCCAGGTTTCTGACGTGTGGTTATGGGTTCACGATACTGGTGCCTACTGGTATTCCCAGGGGTCTGTTGACTTGAACCTCGATCTCTCATCTGACCAAACTATAGAAAGGTCAAAGACGAAAAGAAACGCAACTGTTATCAGAAAAATTTCAACATAGAACCCGAAGGTATGTCAAATCTTGGCATGTTTACAACGCCTTTCTCTTATTATTTTTTTATCTTATCTCCAACGCCTCGGAAACGATCAATGTTGTTTCATTCATGATTTGAAAAGGAAATTCGATGCTATCAAATCAGCAATCTATTCTGTAAAAGCAGTCTGTTCAAAAACCTAGACATAAAATACAAAAGACAACACTACTAAGTATGATGTATTGAATTTCAACTTGTTTGCTGAAATCCCACAGGACTGAATCTCCAGTTGGGGTCAGTTAATATATATATATATATATTGTGTCAAGAGATGTAAGGATTATGTTGTGCTCGTGCTTTTGAAACAAAATTTTATTTTTATTATCAAAGCAAACAAATTCAAGAGTTCTGCCATAAAATAGGCACTCAATACAAACAAAAACAACAATATGAAACATCTGGACATGTTTACGAAAGTCTTAAAATTACCTTACTTCTTTCTTGGGTGAAATAATCGTGCCACTTTTTACTTCATCGCCCCATTATGGGATTTCCATTATATTCTTTTATCCCAAGAGCTAGGTGAAAAATTAAAATATAGAATAAATTACTATTACAAGTAACAATAATTTAACGTTATATTACCCGGGAAATCGGTTCAAATCACTTTGAATCTTACTACAGCAAAGTGAGAAATATATCGTTCCAAGCGACACAATCGAATTAGATTTACATACATGTAGCTCCGAAACTAGTTGATGGTGTATTACATTTTGCAACACCCGGTAATTCCTGGATAGCCAATCCCTCTGTCAAGCAACCACATCTCGTGATTTCTTGTTGATTTGTAAGTTATGTTGCAACAAGCAAACGCTACAGCGTGGTTGCTTGACAGTTTTTCAATTCAATTCATTCAAAATACTATATACGTGCTTTCTAGACCGTTTTTTGTCCAAATTGTAATTTATTGGCACCCTCATAGGTGAATCATTTGTGTTATCATATTTGAGTTTTTTTGCACGCGTACAGCTGAGCTTAATGTTTTAGAATACAAATTCATCTCACTTTATGCTTATGGCAAGTTCATGTTTATTTTGCCGTATAGATGGATATTTAAAAAAGTAGATAATACTGTTATGAATGAGCAGCAATTTTCTCTTTTTGTTATAAAGGATGTACGAAGCTTAAGGTTTACCTACGATGAGTGCCACTTCGACATAAACCCACTCGTGAATATATTTTCTTAATTTGGGGTGCTTTAGAGGAGCTTTTAAGATGTCCATACATGTAACATCATCAGTTGGTTGACAGTTAAGGTCTTTGCAAAACTGTTGCAAGCCCTTCTATTTTCATTATTTTTAAAAATAATTAAATTCAAGTTTACTGTGGCTAAAATACAACGTACGTGCTTCTGCAGTTCGATTCATTTAAACGTTCATCATTGCAGGTTTTTTACTAACAGTAACAGACAAAATGCAGGAAGAATCGAAATACCAGTTTATTGAACCAGAGGAACTCGAAGAGTTTGAAGCCTACTATAAACAGCATGGTCGCGAAAGTATCGCAGATTTTATGGTAAACAAGATAAAAGAAGTCGAAAACGTGTCTGTGAAAATTGCTGTGACTGGAATGGCTGGTTCTGGGAAATCAACATTCATCAACACATTCAGAGGTCTTACTGCTGATGATGATGGTGCAGCGCCTGCCGGAGATATTGATACAAATGAGGTCCCCCGGGAGTACCACCACCCACAAATTAAAAACATTACCCTATCGGACTTACCTGGAATTGGGACGCACAAATTTAACAGAGGAAATTACGAAGAAAAGGTTAATTTTGGTTCATATGACTTTTTCCTAATCTTCACCAACATCCGTATTTTTGAGGACGTTCTATGGCTTGCTAAAAAAGCTCAGCTCCGGCGTAAGAAATATTTCATTGTCCGAACACGTATTGATGCTGATATAGAAAGTGAAAGACAATGTCAACCACTAACACATGACGCCTCTCGATTACTGGAGATAATCCGTGAACAAACTAAAAAACTGCTTGAAGAACAACGTGTCTATCCAGAGGACGGTGTTTATCTAATATCTACACTCCTCAGCTATGTAGACCAGTGGGACTATCGGAAACTTGAACGCGACATACTGCATAGACTTCCCAGAGTAAAACGGGAAATCCTTACCTTTTCTCTCAACAACCTATCCGAAGATTTGATCAAAGAAAAATGTCAGACACCCCGAAGTCGCCTTTGGAAAATGTTATCCTTTTGGAAGTGAAAGAGTTTGTCCTATCTGGATTAAGGCACGTTATGCCACAAGAAGTTAGACCGTTGCAATTAAGAAGTGACTTGTTATAGAGACGCGCGAAGTCTNAAAAAACAAAAAAAAAAAAAAAAAAAAATAAAAAAAAAAAAAAAAAAAAAAACGCGAGGCATTGTTAATTTCACGACCGTCAAATTGAATTATCAGGGATGGAATGTTAACAAGACTTGTTAAAGCCTTACAATGCTTGCTTATCTCTAAAGCTGTTTTGTTCATGGTTTGAAAAGGAAATTTGATACTATCAATCAGCATAACCTATCCTGTAAAAGTAGTCAGTTAAAGAAACCTAGTCATAAAATACAACAGGCAATACTTCACCACATGACGTATTAAATTACTTACCGAAAACTTAAATGATTGCATCCCAATCTGGGGGTTTGATCCATTTGGTCCTTTTTCTCATCTCAAGAGATGTGGAGAAATTTGCACTGCTTATGCTTTTAAAAAGAAATTTTGTTCTTATCATATTGGCAAAATATATTCTGTGATGGCACACATACCTGTATCGACGAACACTTACAAATTATTGAAATACTCTACTTAGAGCATGGTATATCTGATCCCTTTTTGTTAATTGAAAATACAAAACTGAACTCTCAACTGTTGATTTAAAACTGTCGAAGCAGAGGAATTGCAACACTGAAAAGAAACAAAAGTTCCACTATTAGAAAAAGATTAGCATAGCATCAGAGGACATGCCACCTCTCTGCAGGTTCAGGGCACCTGTTATGGAGTTTAACATATATTTATTTTTGGTCCCAAAGGCACCATAGATTTCAAACTGGCGTACCTAACAAATCACAAAATAACGAGCTCAACAATGAAAAGAGAAAACCGTCAATCCGAAACGAGATTGTTAAGGCGTTTCTATTTATTTCCTTTTATGATCCAAACAGTGTAAAATATCTGTTAAATTTGTTTCCCGGGGTCCTGTTGATTAAAAACTGTCGTAGCGAACAAATTGCACAATAAAAAGTTCAGCCATTAAAAAGAAACTAAAGTTTCGTCAACACAAAAAGAATAATGTAGTACAGGTACTCTAAGGTATGACACATCTGGGCATGTTTACGAAATTGTTAAAATTTCCTTAGCTCACTCTTGGGTGAAAAAATCGTGTAACTTAAAGGGATAACAACTGTTCATTTTGGCCAAAAATGAATTTTCCGGGGGTTAACAGCAATTTTCCCATACTTACCAATGGTATATGAAACAGTTTCTTCACTCAAGATAAGTACCTGCTTTTTCTTCTAAAAATAATCTTAAGAGATTATTACAGAATATAGCCAGCTATAGAGGTCACATGGTCTGATGGCTAGCACAAATTCAAATTTATTGCTATAACTGCTGCGGTTTTGCTGGTAAAAAAGAATATATTGTATTTCTATAAGTTGTTTGCAATGTATTTTTTGTAAAATATAGATTTCAAATTGCATGCATAAAATTTAAGAATCTGAGTAAAATGCGTGCTGTAGCTCTATTGCAACGTCATCTTCTCTAGCACAATCAGTTTGTCAGGTAATAGTGATGCAAAAGATACGTGTGAAATGTCTATATTTACTGATCATCCAGCAATATGATGAATACGCATGTGAACATTTAAAAGAAATTAATTATGAATTGAGACAAATTTGGGTAATGATGAACATTTTTCATATTATCACAGTGCTGAAGATAATAATTGCACACAGAATAGCTCTTTTATCTCTTAGAAAAATTTAAGTAGGTTTGATTTCAGGACACTTAATAGTATAAGTAGCATTAGCCGACCTGAATGAAAGACCTACATTTTGCATAAGATATTAAAAAGCAGAATTTCTTAGGGCATATCAATCTAAGAATGGCAAAAGAGAAATCGCAAATTAAGAAACGATTTCATTGATGAATGGAAATGACATTCTTGTCCCCAGTCAGAAATCGTGTCATATCGGATTTGTTTACGAGACCCGTGCTGGCATTTCTATTTTTCACCTTTCGTCTCCAGGGCTGTTAGATAGAATTCTGTCTCGCCAAGACTTTTGAAAAGGACATTTGATATCGTCTCATTAAAAGAATAAATTTATTGCATGGTGGCACACAGTCTGAAAAACATGACAACAACAAAAAAAAAAAAAAAAAAAAAGCAAATTTCGGGACGTGAGGTATTATAATTAAACAACCACCAGCCTGGATTCCCAGGGATGGACTGTTTACAAGACATGACAAACCCTTATTATATTTTCTTCTCCCCAAAAATGCAGAAAATAATTCTGTATCGCTCATGCTTTGTCCATAAGACACCGTAGATTTCAAACTGGCGTAGCTAACAAATCACAAAATGAAAAGATGAAACCGCCAATACAAAAAGAGATTGTTAAGACGTTTCTATTGATGTATTATGTTCCAGACAGCGTAAAATATGTTTTATTTGCTTCCCGGGGTCCTGTTAATTAAAAACTGTCGTAGCGAACAGATTGCAAAATAACACGTTCAGCAATGAAAAGAAACTTAAGTTTCGTCAACTCTTAGGTATGGCACATCTGGGCATGTTTACGAAATTGTTAAAATTCCCTTAGCTCACCCATGGGTGAAAGAATGTTGTCACTCAAACACAATTTTCTTCATCGCCAATACCTCCTAATGGGATTTTTATTAGTTTGTCAAGATGGTCGATATCCTATATTAGTCCATGAGTCAAAGGCTAAAAATTCCAATTAGGCTACACCCCTCGTCAGGCAAAGGTTTTATGATTGACTTTTTTTAGTTAAGAACCCGAATGTTTCATTTCTGCTTGGTTCTGCCTTGCAAAAAGTGTCCGCTTGTACCGAAAACAAACAAAATCAAAGATGACCGCCAGTAAATTCATATGTCATATATAAATACAAAAATTGATTTTAAAGTTACTTAATAACTAAATGTTATCTAAATGTGCACTGATCACAAGTACTTAGGCTTTTTGTGATTCTTCAGGCATTAATAATTTTTGAAGATGGCAACCGAATCCAAGATGGCGGTTATTTTCCTTCATCATCATCATCATCATTTAGAGCCTATAGTGTTCCACTGTTGGACATAGGCCTCAGCATGCTTTTTCCATTGTTTCCTATCCTGAGCCTCGGATTTCCAGTTTGGCCAAGGTTTCTTCTTACAAGACTTCCAGTAGTCATCTAGTTCATCCCTCCATCGTTTGACCGGCCTTCCTCTTTTTCTTTGTCCATACCTTGGGGTCCATTCTATAAGCCTGATTGTCCACCTATTGTCCTTCATTCTTTTGACATGTCCTGCCCATCTCCATTTTCCTTACTTTTTGAAAAACAAATACAAAAATTGACTTTTTTTAGTAATCTAAAATTAGGCATGTTTTACATGTTTTGATGACATTGAATCAGTTGAAGTCTATACTTTTCATTTATACCAGTTAATTTATCCTTGAATTGTATATTTGAACACAGATGGCTCTAATCCAAGATGGCCACCGCATAAAATGGGCTTTTTGTTTTGATATGTCAACAAGCTTTTCTTACAGTAAGACATCTCAGACTTCTTAATGAAAGATTTATTGCACAAGGTAAGTAATGACATGTATGACGGAATAATTTACATCTTTTTGAGACTTTGTTCAAAGTTGAAAAATCCAAGATGGCCGCCAATTTCTGGATTCAAAACATACTTTATTTTGATTTGCATGTTGAAAAACATCTACACTCTTGCCCAAAATGGTTGGTACACGGAAATTTTGGGATGCATATCGCCCTGTTTCTTTCATTATTATTGATAGTACCAAATTAAAACTGTTTATATTGTTAAATATGTGAAGCTGGGGGATTGGTTAAGTCATGGAGAAACAACCAATACAAATGTGAAAAAGCGTTAATTTATTTATTTTTTTTTCTCATGCCCCAAAAAAGAGTACCTTTTTTACATAACAGTACCAAGTGAAAAATTAAACATAAATTTATACTGTGAGTGACAATTAATATGAAATTAGGGGAAATTGTCAAGAAACATCTTCAGAGTTCATTATTAATCTCAATAGCGGGTATGCCCACCCCGAGCTTGGTTAATGGCCGCCAAACGGCGTGGCATACTGTGAACTAGAGTTACAGCTCTTTGGAGAGGAATTCTGGTCCATTCATATTGAAGGGCATCTCGCAATTCATCTAGATTTGCAGGGGGAGGGTTTCTCCTCTGAATAGCACGACCAAATTCGTCCCACATGTGCTCAATTGGGTTTGCATCTGGGCTTCTTGCTGGCTGTGGCATCAGCTGAATGTTGTTTTGTCGAATAAAGTCTGCAATTAAGCGGGCTGTGTGTTGAATTGCATTGTCATGTTGCAATCTAAAATTGTCTCTGTATATCCCTCTTGCGAATGGCTAAAGGTTCTCCTGGAGAATGTCTCTGTATCTGGCAGCGTTAAGGTTTTCATCCAGAGGAAGCAATGGGCAAATGCCGTTGCTGCAAATGGCACCCCAAAATTTGTACAGAACCACCTCCTCCAGCTATGAGAGTGCGTAGGCTCCCTGGGGGGAGGCTGTTTACTGAAAATATCCAGGAAACAATAGCTGGAGGAGGTGGTTCTGTACATGTTTGGGGTGCCATTTGCAGCAATGGCATTTGCCCATTGGTTCCTCTGGATGAAAACCTTAACGCTGCCAGATACAGAGACATTCTCCAGCAGAACCTGGAACCGTTCGCAAGAGGGATATACAGAGACAATTTTAGATTGCAACATGACAATGCAACTCAGTACACAGCCCGCTTAATTGCAGACTTTATTCGACAAAACAACATTCAGCTGATGCCACAGCCAGCAATAAGCCCAGATGCAAACCCAATTGAGCATATGTGGGACGAACTTGTCGTGCTATTCAGAGGAGAAACCCTCCCCGTGCAAATCTAGATGAATTGCGAGATGCCCTTCAAGATGAATGGACCAGAATTTCTCTCCAAAGAGTTGTGACTCTAGTTCACAGTATGC